ACAACACGTATATTTCTCACGAGTTACCATGAATAGTAGCCACAAGTAACATATTCTGCGGGATGGGAGGATATTCTAACACAGAAGGCAGTTAGTCAACTCTCAGAGATCGGTTCTACACACTATGCATCTCCCTGTGTCAGGGGAGATATGATCCAATAGGTACGAATATTGAAAGGAACCAAGATCTTTGTGATATAAACATGCATTCCAAGTTTCATGAAAATCGGATGAAAATTGTGACCTCTAGAGGATCCACAACCTTGATATACCATATTTTACACTATTTGCGTCACTCTCCACTCAAGTGTCGCTATCCAGCATTCGACTCTGCTCACGGCTCACACACTACACTGGTTGACCTAGAGGTCATTGGTCATGTGATTAACTAATGACACCTGTCAGGAAAGTTCCTGGCGTTATAAACACTTGATGAGTTTTAGTCAATTTTAGGGAAAACGTCATCAATTATTACCCCTCCGAAAGAAAGCAGTCTAATTTTGCATGTTTCGTGTGTAAATGTATTAGGCCTTACGATCGCATTATAAAGGTAAACATTATACATCATTGGATCCATGTGTATTATATTTTAAAATTAGCACTGCGACATGCGCAGTTCGTATTTCTGACCACTTAACCCTGTAATATTATGCGAAAGAGTTCCCTGTAATATTTGTAAATACATTATTACTTTGCAATTGTGACCCCATTTCTATTTAAATATGGTAATAGTATTAAATATATTATCATTTATTTGTTTTAAATCGTATTGTTTATCATTGTCCATCAACACCAAGAATCTTGGGGGTGTAGTCAAATGAGCCGTTAGCAGAGATAGTTTGGACTGCAAGGGAAGACAACTCTGTTTGGGAGATTGTATTTGCGTACAATGGGCAGCCATTTTGTGCAGCAGTTTTGGTCTGATTTTCACAAAATTCGAACTCAACTATCATTAGGATGCAACGGTAATATACTAAAACTTTTTTTTTGAATCAGATAAAAATTGTGACCTCTAGAGGGACCACAAACTAAAAACGTGATTTTTCATACAATCAGGGGCCACAATTCAGGAAGTTACAATCTGATATGTGCGAATATCGAAAGGAAACAAGATATTTAGGTTATAAACATGCATTTCAAGTTACATCAAATCGGATCAAAATTGTGAACTTTAGAGTGTCCACAAGCTAAATACATGATTTTTCGTACAATCAGGGCCATAATCCATGAAGTTAATTATACCAATTTAGAAAGGAACCAAGATCTTTGGGAGATAGACCTATATTTCAAGTTTCGTCAAAATCGGATAAAAATTGTGACCTGTAGAGTGTCCACCAACAAATTGTGGACGGACTGACGGACAGGGGCGATGACAATATGTGGGCGTATAACAATACCAGGTAAACATTCCTGCAAGTTCACCATAAAATTTGACCTTCACAGCATACAAGGTTTTGTTTACAGAAACACTGAATCTTCAAAACATGCAACATATTTGGATGAACCCTATCAATTTTCAGGGTTCCACGTTCTACCAGTCCGAGTTACCCCACTGTTCTTAAAAAAGATTTTCTTTTAAATTTGGTGTGAAGAACCATAATGATATTCAGTATTTTCCAACAATCTGGTGTCATGCAAAATACGCCCCACATTTTGCAATAGATGGACTGGGAAATAAGGCTCATCCTCTTATTGTTTAAATTCTTCACATTGAATAAGAAACAAATATGTGACCGGCCGCATCTAAATGAGTCGGAATGCGCGAGAATCAATAATGAGATAAAGATAAATATGATCAAAATATTGTCGACGAATTGATTTTGAAAGGATACAATCGAGTTTTAAAAGTTAACTTGCTTTTTCTCAAAACTTACTTTTGTGAGTTGGGTAGCTTCTAATGGACACAGCTCAGTCAATTTTTGCCCAATTCAAACAAACTATATATAATTACATCAAATTGAAGGTAATGAGTTGGAGAATGTGAAAATAATAATTCAATTTTCAAAATTTCCTCATTGTGACTCAGTATGCTGTGGGGGGTCACATATGTTAAAACCTGTAGTCTCTTATCTCATTCACAAGGTTTTCGGAAAAAGGGGGTAACTTCGGAATGGAATGTTATGAATCGCTGACTATTGATGGGAGTTCATCGGATGAACTTCATCCAGTCGTGACCCTGATGCTACACCCCAAATATTACATAAATCTGTTAACCGGCCTTTGCCAGGCAAGATACGCCTGCATTTTGCAAGAGATGGATAGAGAACAAGCTAAAACAAAAACGTTATTTTTTATACAATCAGGGGCCATAATCCAGGAAGTTAAGGTTTGAAATGCATGAATATCGAAAGGGACTGAGATCTTTGGGATATAAAGATATACTGAGTGCCATGGAAAACGCATCACTTTTTTTTCCCAAATATCTTATTACTAGGTGGTTTTGTATGTATACTATTCAAAAAAAGTAGGGGATATTTGATTTCGGGGGCATAATACTAAAATATGCAAATGACTACGAAAAAAGTCACTATAGAACCTAACAGAAGAAACATTTCCAGTTACATGTGACGCCCAAACGCACCAATAGCTACCGCATGGAATGCAGGTGATGCTTGGGATCATCATGGGGGTCCAACCCAAGATTTGCACGACTCTGACTTTGAATGTTACAGTCATTGTGGCATTGAATTCCAGGGTGGAAACATCAGTTTAATTGTTTTAGTGACCAGAAAACAAATTTTGATATGCGTCGGCTTACCCAAAATGAAAGGTTACGTGCCCTTGGCATGCTACAGATCGGCACAAGACAGGCGGTTGTGGCGCGGACGATGAATGTTTCTCAGTCTGTCATAAGCAGGCTATGGTCCAGATACCGTGATACACAATCTGTACAGGACAGACCACGCTCAGGTCGACCAAGGGCGACAACTCAAGCCCAGGATCGATTTATCCGTACCTTGGCCTTGAGAAATCGTGTCATCACAGCAAATCAGATCAGCGCTCGTCTTCAAACAGACACTGGTGTGAGAGTGAGTGGCCAGACGATTCGGAATCGACTGCATAGGGGTCACCTTCGCGCCCGACGTCCTCGCGTGATCCCTTGTTTGAGAGATCATTACATTCAGGCAAGACGTCGTTGGTGTAGGGATCGTCAAAACTGGGATAATCGACGCTGGAGCAATGTGATGTTTTCAGATGAGTCAAGGTTCACTGTTGATTTTTTTGACAGACGTAGGAGGGTGTGGCGTCGTCGAAACGAGCGCTTCCAAGACGTTAACGTCATCAGACATGATCGATTTGGGGGTGGTTCTGTTATGGTGTGGGGAGGCATCACTGTTGCTGGAAGAACGGCTTTACATGTTGTTGCAGGGCGTGTTACAGGCCAGTACTACCGGGACAACATCTTGGCAGTCCATGTTGTGCCGTTCGCACGACGTCATGGCCGCCGTTTCATCTTCCAGGATGACAACGCAAGATGTCACAGGGCCAGGATCGTTACAGGTTACCTCAAACAACAGAACATCACCACATTACCTTGGCCAGCACTGAGTCCCGACCTCTCCCCCATCGAGCATGTTTGGGACATGCTTGGACAGATGTTACGTCAACGTCAACAACGTCCTGCCAATGTCCAAGAACTTGCTGCTGCGTTGCAACAGGAATGGGACAATCTGGACCAAAATGACCTTAGACGTCTCATTAGGAGTATGCCACGTCGGATCAATGCTTGTTTGGCAAACAGAGGAGGATTTACCCGTTACTGACTTGGTTGTGATGCTGTGGTAACTTTGCTGTTTGACCCCGGGTATCATTTTACCCTTATAATGGTCAGTCTGTGCCTTACTTAGTCTAACGATCATTTGGAATAAATCGATGAATGTGAACTTCATTTCATTTTGTCATTTGTTTCTTCGTCAGTTTCATTAGGTGACTTTAATAACACTTAAAAATCAAATATCCCCTACTTTTTTTGAATAGTATATAATATTATGCAATACTATGAACTATTGTTTCACACAATGCTTCCAAACGCAAAAAATATCAGCCCGTGTGCACAAAAAAAAAATTGTACGAGATGCACATGAAAAACCCCATATTGTGTGTGAGCCCTTTAAAAGCATGTTTTCAACTTAATGTGCAGTACATGAACTGTGAAACGTCAATCTGTCGTAATTTGTTGTTGGACGTGTGAAGGAATCGAGCTAGAGATGCCGAGACTTACTGAAAATCAACGGAATAAAGCCATGGGAATGTCCAGGGCTGGCATGTCTACACGTGGTATTGCCAGACACTTCAATTGTCATCAGTCCACTATTGTAAGGTTGGTGGAACGTGTCTGAGCTACTGGATCAACACGTGACCGTCAACGTCCTGGTCCACAACGCGTTACAACCCAGGCTCAAGACACTACATTCGGGTCACTCATCTGCGTGACAGATTCCGCCCAGCATCTCAAACAGGTGCAGCAGTCGTCGGGAGGCAACTGGAGAACCTGGAGAAAACCCACGGGGTCAGAAATATGACAAGGAGCAAAGAAGGCTAGGCATTGGCTTTGTTTTGCCAAATTTATAGTGGGTGTGACATTGCCACAGGGGGTCGGGACATGCAGCAAAATAAATAGTTGCTGTTTTTAAGGTATAAGGAATAAATATGCAAAGTTCAAAGATGATCCATTCAGAATTGCATTCTGTAGACAACAAACACAAAAATTGTACGATTCAAAAGTTTTGTGCATTCTAGGACTGTCTGTTCCAGAGGTATATTATGTGTCCCTTAAAGTTTGTGACCATATTTCCTTAAGTCATATCAAATTTGACATCCAGTTTTAATTTCGGAAAAGCTGGTATGGCAATCTTCAAAGATTTGCGTAAAATTGTTTCAAGCCTTATAAACTGGAGTAAAACTGTTTCAAGCCTGAGTGACTGGAGTTTAATAACAATATCAACAATTTTGGCAGTAGGTTAACAATGACAATCATATGTTTAAGAAACAATTTTTACCTGGAATGTGGATCCCACTACCAGTGTGATGTTCTGAGGATCTAATTTCAAAGGAGAAAAAACCTGAAAAAAAGAGTAGAGAGGGAAATGGGGTTTACAAGAAATAGTTGGGTTTTGTCTACAGTTAATGTGTCGGTTCTAGAAAAGAGCCCACGAGGTTGTGACTAATGATGGGATTCTTTTATAGACATCTAGTTTAATAATTTAATAAACTTTATAAGACTGTAACAAACCGTCATTATTGATGAAAAGGAAATTTGTATATACTGTCACTGAGAATTACTAAGAGGTTGATCTGTACGCAGCCCTTATAGAAATCTTGTTTTGGCTTGTTATTTGTACGTCTATCGAAAGAAAATTAATTTCCTGACTATTACTCGGTATTACCGCGTTAAAATTGTAAATAAGGTGTGTTAACGCTAGGGGTGAAAACTTATGTGACGGTGCGTTTTCTGTAGAGGTGTGTTAATTAACAAATCGGTACAAAATGAATGTCAATGGTGTGTATTGTTTAATTGGGGTGTTTTCTCGCTAGTTGCGATAACTACACTAAAAGGACCAACATTGGGAAGGAAAAATGTTTCATCGTGAGATTTATCGTTCGACCGTGTGTTTTACGCAGGTCTTTGATTAAATTAAAGACAGGTGTTTAGATAGGCGTGTGTGCTCACTATGATCTACGTTTACCGTATGTGTCTTTTGCATTGCGTACCATATATATAAAGTTGCATTTAATGAAACAAAATATGGTCCTTAATCTATCGTATACGGAAAGGCGAATGTAATGTTGTCATTTATAAATACCCAGCAGTCAGCGCTCAATTTGAATATCCACAGGAATATAGAGAGTAAACCCAGCAAAAACTATTTTTTCTACAACCGAAATATATTTCTGCTTTATTACTAAAAAGATGCCCACTCACCGTTTCACATTTATTAAATTTATAAAAATGCACCACGATGAGTAAATGGTGCATCTTACCTTCAATAGCAATATCCATAAAACAGAAATCTCCATATTAATAAATAATACAACACAACCAACCGAACAGTGGTAATTCCCACACAAATGATATATTTAAACTAAAATTACTTTAGCTTTTCACTAAATTTACATCGCATACAATCAAACGATCCTCATTCAGCAGAACTTGTAACTTATAATAGCCGTTTTTATGCAATTACAGAATTGTCCCATGATATATCATATCAAAGAAACATATGCGCCCGAATTGACACGTAATCATTTTCGAGACTTGTCTTCTATTCTTAGGACTATACCTGATGTTTATACTGCATACCATATAGTCACGCTACTTATAGATAAAGTTGCATTTAATTTTAATAAAATAAAAATATTGACCTTAATCTATCGCACGAAATGCAATGTCGTCATTTATAAATATCGAACAGGTAGGCCCCAATTTGAATATCCCCGGGTATATAGCCAATAAGCCAAATTTGCTGTATGTAAATATACTGATTCTCGTAAATTTATAAACTTCACGCAATCTCAATAACGTCTCCTTGATCAAAGTGTAGCGTCCAACGGTTGTATCCATGATAAACTGGGCCCCTCTATCACAAAGATTCACTAGTGGAACCTCGGCTACTGATCTGTTATCCAGGGAGGGGTTTTTCTAAGCTCGCCTGGGATCACAACTCTCTTCGGTTAGTAATGAGTAAGTGTCAGCTAAAAAGTGACTATAAGGAATCCCTTCCCAAGTTCTTGACCGGGATCTCCAATAATTGAATGAAATATGACTGCAATGTCGCCTTGCACAATGTCTCCCCTTACTCAATAACACAAACAACAAAAAAAATATTCATATAAAAATAAATATATATTATCCTTTGATCAAGATCAAATTACATAGGTCGGACAAAAATATAACATAATAATGATGATGATAATGATATAAATATCAAACCACTTTCAGGCGAAACCCAAATGATGGTCGACACACAACCACAGGTGTACACGATCAGCAACAATATATGGAATCTGGTAAACAGACACACACGTAATAATGAAACAATAATATGATCTCTAATATAATAACACTAGAGGTAGTAAAACACTACTACGACCATGGTAAGGCGAGCATCTATGGGTGTGCTTTTTTTTTTATATTCACCATTTTTATTCGCACTTCATATGCAAATAATCGTAATCAAAATGAACCGATCGGATAAATGGCTCGCGGGAAAATAAACGATTCATCTAATAGTTAAACATAGTAGACAAATTAACAGGTGTTGATTTTTAAACGCATCTCAGGAAATTGGACTGCTCGTCTAATAAATAAACGCATTAGATAAGTCAACGCTTCGGCTATTTCTAAACCCCTCTCAGAAAAAATTAAACGGTGTACCATTAATATAAACTATAGTACTAATTAAACGATTTTTGTCATTTCCAAATGATTTTTATCAATATCAAATGATGTTTTGAAATTAAACTATATGCATAGTTTTTAGGGCTATAAACAGGGGTTACAGTGTAATAAGGCTAGATAATGTGACATCTCCCCTTTTTGAAGACGATAGCCAAGCAAAGTGTGGAATACACCCACACAGCAGCTTTGTCTCAACTGCCGCTTACCCAAAAGGAAAACTTGGATGTTTAACAAATTTGATAAGGATCTAGGATCTTTGAAGAAATATTATCTCTAGGGTTCATGTTTTTATGACCCCATTGCTTCCAACCAAATTTGAAAAACCAGCGACTGCCAGGCAGGATACGCCTACATTTTACAAGAGATGGATAGAGAACAGACGTGTCAACCCCCAGGTATGAAAAAACAGGAGACCAGCAATGAAAAAAACAGGAGAATCCAGGAGATTTTTTTTTTTATCAAATAACTTCATATTTATTGATCATAGACAGGGTATGAAATAAGCCTCTTATATGGTAACCTCAAAATAGGTTACGCTAATCTGCCTGAAATTTGAAATGGTAACCTATAGGTTACGATGCATCAATTTGCTGCCATATTGGTTTAGAGCTGACCCTCGAATTAACCTAGGGGATTTGGGGGCAAAGAAAATTTTGCATTTTGCCATGCAATATGGTACAATTTGGATGATTTTACACCACTATAGGTAGTCTACACTTTAACCCATTTAGCCCTAGAGCCAGCTACCCCTGAGCTCATTAAATCAGCAGGGTGGGCCCCTAAGCCAATAGTTGATTATTGTTTATCCTAATATCCCCTACTTACAAAATTGCAAATAACTAAAAAATATTATCTATACAAAGAAATACTCTGTTACAAAAATGTACAGAATGTCATGTTCTTTCCAATGATATAAAATTCAATTGTACAAAGTAACAATTATACTACTATAAATAATATTGAAAAGTCAGTTCCACTAAAATTATGACTTTTCTCTTAGGCCGCATTCCATGGGCACAAATTGTCGTTGCAAAAATATTTTCGTTCCTACAAATCCGGTCTAGAAAAAATTATGTCAGTTTATAGTTCATATAGAGATATTCATTTGTTGTAATTTTCTCCCAAAAATTTCATAGTTCTTCGGTGATATTCTTCTTTGAAATCCGGACTATTTATTGATAGTAGAATTCATAGTGCGCAAGGTCACTGGACAGAATTCAGCTTTGTTCGCCGCGTCACGTGATCGTTTTTTTCCACAATCGACCAATCATGTTATTGTCTACATTCGCGTGTGTTGTTGGTAAACACAAAATGGCGTGCTTCACGAGCAACACATTGCAGTTATACATGTAGAAGCTACACGAAATGGTGACAAAGGTTCAATTAACTTGTATTGTTCACTTAGACAGTGTTAATAAGGGAGGTGCAGAACCCTTTACAAACACAAGGTGAGACAAATGTCATGAGGCAGCTATAGACTGGTTTCAATTGGATGGAAATAACCGATCCATTGCAGCATTTTAAGATACAAATGGATTTATTACGAAGGATATTATATTGAAAATACAGTCGGCAGTGGTTTTGGATTTCACCCAACGTTTTATAGATGTTTTAAGAACAAAACAGTTAAAAGATGCGAAAAAGAAAAAGAGTGAGAAGGCAGCGTCTACATTTAGTCCAACCAAAACTAAAACTGTCACCACATACAGACTATTATTATTACTGTGATGTGCTCATAATATATTTTACCAAACATTATTGAACAACTGACTATTAGTATATTAATCATTCGAAAAAAATAACAATTCACTCATAACATAATATTTTAAAGATAGGTTGTCAGGCAACGAAACATACACCCAAGCAAATGTTCTTTTTGGCATTATGACCCTAATGTTTTGGCCGTTATGTAGTTATGACCAAAATGTTTGACTGTTGTGACCAAATACTAGAGCCATTTTGGTTTAGGGCCTTTAAGTCCATAACCCCTACTACTAGGCCTAGAACTTCAACAACTTTAAAGATAGGTTGCCAGGCAACGAAACATCGCCCACAGCAGCTAAATCGTCCGGGCAGTCAACAAGAGTTGTCGCATATTTTTACTTTCTTTCGGTGATTAAAAATTTATAATACACTAAAATCTGATTAAGAGTAACAACTCATGAAGTAATTATCAGAAAATCATTAGAATTTGTTTGGTTTTTATAAAGTTCTGTCCCATGCTAATGTTTAGTATACGAAACATTTAATATCATGGAATATAGCTGTTAAAGTTATCAAAATTCATTGAAAATCAGTATACTTGGTTGTCTCAAGACCTTTAACACTGTATAAATTTAAAGTCAATCGTATATTAACTTTGTCCTCTAGAGCATCCACAAGATATTTTGAAGTGATCAAGTACCATAACTCTGGCAGTAATTATAGGAAATCACTGAAAATAGGATTCGTCTCATGACCTTAAACACTGTGTATAAATTTAATGTCAATCGGATATTAACTTTGGCCTCTAGCGCGTCCAAAAGATTTTTTGGAGTGATCAAGGGCCATAACTCTGGCAGTAATTATTGGAAATCGCTGAAAATCAATATGCTTCTTCGACTCATGACCTTAAATGCTGTGTATAAATTTAAAGTCAATCGGATATTAACTTTAGCCTCTAGA